TTGTTTTTATGATGTTTTTTCCATTTTTTATTTTCCCACACCTGAGTTTTGATGTTCAGATCTTGCCACCACTAAACCCGACTGTTTGCTGTAAAGGGTAATGAACAAGATTAAATGGTAAATAAGGGGATAACAATTAACTTAGGATACATTTTCAGGCAGGCTTTGTATTTTTGATGTTCCACAGATGCTGACATTTTTATTCTTGGAATTTCAACTTTTTGTTCAGATGGGAATATACATACAGTATGCAGGTATGTGGTATAGGATCTGCATACTTTTTTTCCAGCTGAAACACACAAAAAAATCTAACCAGTGGTGATAAACATATTGTAAGAAGTCATTTATTTTAAATCATTTATATTAAAGTGATATGATCTTTAAGGTCTCTACAGTAACCTCAGTAGGTTTACGATTTATTGTGTGTGTTTGTGAAGTCTCATGGAAGTATATGCATATAGAAATTTTGTGTTTAATTGTCTTTGTTTTATGTAAATTTAATTTCTTTGTGCATGTGTATGCGCGTACATTCTGTCCTGTGTGTATGCTAGCTCATTTTGCAAGCAATTATATTCTCCTAAGCAGCTCAATGAGCAAGTAAATGAAGTGAACAGCAGTTGAATGTGTCTTGTGACAAATTGTATACGTGTGCTAATGTGCGTGTGTCACTGGACGAGTTAAAGTGAACAAGAGGGAATGACACTGGAAAAGGAAGGTAGCAAGACCTTTTTAAGGTAAACTAGCCTGACGTCACAAAATGAAGTACAGCACTGACTGACTTGTTAATGGTGGAATTAAGGTGCTGTTGTCTGGTCTACCAGACCCAAAAATGCAAAGGAGAATCCTGATCTTGTCATCTTTTCCTGATGGTTCAAAAAGCTATGTGCAACAGGTAAAATATTAATTGTTTATAACCTTTCCACCGAACCGTACTTCAAAAGATCAGAACTATTCCTTTATTGTTTTAGTCTGACTGCATGTTAATGTAAAACCTTTTGCTCGCCAACTCCTAAATGTGAATTTTATTTATCTTTATTAAATCCTTTATTTGAATCCCTTTTTTTGTTACTTAATAATTCTTGTACAAACCAATCTAAAAATTTGCACTCCCTGCACTCTGAAAAGGTCTCGATGTCTCCAAGTCCAAACATTTCAAACAATCCGGTTTTAGTTTTGTTTACACTTTCAAAATAATTTTTGGGATTTTGTGGCAAAAGTATGTGCAGAGCAAACTTGCGARGCAGAGTTGTACAACTGTGAACAACAAAAAGTCCACAGAACGCCTRCATGGATGCAGCCTAACATGTTTGCAGAGCAAACTACTGCTGATTAAATTCTTATCTCACACTGAACATGATAAAACAGAAACACAAACTCTGTGCAGTTTGCCAACGTGTATGTCAGCGACATTAGACAGAAGCTGAAATTATTCATATTTAGTGCAGTGGTAGAACACGAYCAAAGAAAAAAAAACCTGAGAAACTTTTGAAAAGATTCCAGATCACTTTGTTTYAAAGGAAATATTTTTGGTTCATTTCTTCACAAGTTGATGAGACAACAAAATGAAGGTCCATTGGTCTCCTTTTTATACAACATTAGCTGTTTATTTCTGAGATGCCAACTTTCAATAATGTGCAAATATTACAATATTATATCTGCTGAAGAAGATTTGGACAACAAAGGAAACCTTTATGCTCATCCAAACCATTATCTTTTAGTCTGCCTATTCTTACCAATTCTTCCACTTCATCTAATCACCCTCTTAACAGAGAAAGTCCGCTCGCCAACATTTTAGCTCTCCAAAATACATTTCCCGCCCTGTCGGGTCATCACTACTCAAATCTTTCCAGTCTCATGCCTCTTTACTCCTGCTTGTCTTCACCACTCTCTTTGTCTCCTACTCCGTCTCCTGACCTTTTAGCCCTTTTTCTTCGCAACCTTCATCTGCTCTTCTTGTTCACTTCATTTCCACATTAAGATGCTTGTACGTTTTTGTCTGTCTGCTCAGTGCTCTCCCGCACCTTCTATTTTGTCCCTGTCTTCTGCCAGTCTTCGCTGTTTTCCTAAAGGATTCACATCGAAATTGAGGGAAAACATCCAAGCGTGAAATAGTCCAGAGAGGCTTCTTGACGCCGACTTGTTATTTCATTTCCAGGATGAAACAAGGGCATTAATACTTAAAAAGCATGCCTGCTCTGATGGAAGACACTAAAGAGAGCCATGCCTTCAATCTTTCCTGGGCTTCTCTTCCTTTGACGCTCGTGTATTTGCTTCCTTACTTGAACTATAACCCACTCTCTCAATTACAAAAAATGCATTCAGTTTTAGCCCAWCAGCGTGATATGTAGCTCAAGAGTTTACAGTTTAATGTTCATGCCAATCACAAAGTCACAGCATATAATATAGCAGCAGTGATGACAAAATCTGAATCAAAATGCTGACACGAATGTTGGAAAAACCTTTACTTGCTACATTGCTGGTAATTGAGGCAGCAAACTGAGAGGCTCTTGTTATTGAAAGAATGTTTTTAAAATATAAAAAGTAAGAGTAATAATAGGCAGGAAAAAAAGCCCTTTTTCAGGTAGACA